ATATATATATATATATATATATAATAGAAGAAGAGAGAGAGAGAGAGAGAGAGAGAGTTAGAATATGTAGAGAAGCCTTTATAAACTTTCTTCTTCCACGAGCTCTGTCCCTCTTACTCCCTTAATTTTTATCCCTCGATGACTTCTTTTTACTTTTTATTTAATGCTCCTTGCCCTCCCTCCCGTTCTCCTCTGTTGTTTTTAATTATTTATATTAACTCGAGAATGGAGCGACTGCGAGTCGTGGTCGGCACGAGCAACAACAACAAAAAAAAAGGGAAAACAGAGATGCAACAACCTCTTTTGTATTTAATTTGTTTAATAAAAAAATCATGGATCATAGTACAACATTCCCGAGTGCGTTTTGGCTAACCATCAAGGGAACCAGAACTCGTTTATTTCTTTTCTTCTTCATTTTTCATCCGAAAACACGCGTCATTCGTCCCAACTCCTCGACTCCTCGTCCGATCCGTTATTCCTCGTGACAAAGAAAAACGAGGAAGAAGTAAAATAAAAAAGGAAAAAAAAAAAAGAAAAGAAGAGACTACTAAAACGAAACAAGTACAAAGGAAACGATATCGATGATAATCGAACAAAAAAAAAAGAAGAAGAAGAAGAAGGAAAACGACAAGACGGAGATAGAAGATAGAACAAGCTCGTTCGTCGTCGAATTGGCTGACGTTTTTTTTAGATTTTTTTTTTTTTCTTCTTTTGTACATAAAAAGGAACGTGCGCGTGAGACGCGCCATTCTTTCCGCGATTTTTTCACTTTGGTTTTCACTTTTTTCGACCGATCTCTGAGTACGGTACATGTTATTGACGAAACGACCATGCTAAATCGAGAGAAAGCATCGAATTTTTTCCACGAACGCCATTGGATTTTGCCTTAGAATCCGAAAAAAAAAAAAAGGATGTAGAACCAAATTACACGATGTACGATCGAAGATAACACAAGCACGGGCGAGACGACGATCATTATTGTAATCGTTCCGATTCTTTGCTCTAAGATGAAAGCATTTTAACCCATTATTTGGCGATCGATCGAAGGTAAATTCGTTTTCTCTTTTTTCAATCAATGAGATTATTTACGTACGTCTTTTTCGTATCGATTTTTATTCTTGGAAAAATAATTTTAGAAGGAGAGTATGCGATTTTTTTTTAAAACGATTCGAGGAAGTATATCTTTATTGAAAAAAAAAGAAAAAAAAAACGAAAATGAATGGTGGCCAAATAAAGGGTTAAAAGAATCGTATTTTTATAAAGTTTATTACGATATTAAGGTGAAAATATCAAAGGTCAATGAAAGGTTACCGTACATAAGAGAAGAATACGTGGGAACGAAACTGGTGGTGTGATACTATTGCTACTATTTTGTACGATATGATGTTTTTGTATATCTGTCTACCGTATGTATATATACATAGGAACGAAGTCTACCGATTATTGAATAGATGGTATTCAAATTGTATCGAATTATACGTATTAAACAATTTGTAGCGTGGCGGACACAAAACTCCGGTTGTATTTAACACGAGTCACACATAGATGTTGTTCCCATTAATGTACACCTGTAAAATCCCTATCGAACAATATATGAACTACTAAAGGATTGGTAAAGAGTACTTTGTAATTTATTCACGTACTCCTTTGTATTTATTTCATGACTCATATCTTTTGTCATATCAATAGATATTGTTACATATACATTTCTCTTAATATATCAGAATTTTATTCACGTTGCGCGCTAGATTTCCTTTTACGTATTTTCTTTTTTTTTTATTTTGTTAAAAAAATTCATCAGGGGTATAGATTTACCATGAAAAAAATCTTTTTCTCCTTAATGCAATTTTTAACATTTGTTGTAAAATATGTTCGATAATATTAACATGTTTCTCTGTAACACTTTTTAAAAAGCGAGCATTTTGCAATTGCAAAATGTAAAAATTGCTCGTTTCCAGGGATCGACACGTGGCTAGACCACCTGTTGCTTTAGGCAGGAACCAACTGACTGCAAAGGGTGACTGCGAAGTCAGCTGTGCGTAAAATTGCAACTCAAATGCAATGCGTCTTTCAAATGTTTCTTCCTTTATAGAACATTGGTCAACAGCCGAGCATGTGAGCATCGTTTCACAATGGTGTGTCGAACTTTCGAGAGAGTTTAACATCGAAAGAAACTTTCAAAACTCGATAAATTTTTTTTCAGAATTACGCCTAATCTGTTAAATACTACAATGATATAAATATTTAGCAAGCGAAAGTCTCTATTAAATTCTATCTTTTAATTATATCTAAGATAGAAATATGAATTTATTTTAACCGCGATACTTATCAATAATACTATTTAAAAATGAAGCAATTAATCGAAAATTTATACGTTATTTTCCAATAATCATTGGACTTAATTCAACTTAAATACGAGCTGGTATTCACGTTTCACAGTCTGCGATTTTAGATAGTGTTTTCATAAACGTAACTGTAAAAACCGTTAAAAAAACTTCAAGTCAAGGTTATTTCATAGTACTCTTTAACCGTTTCAACAGCGCGTAGATAATTAACCATTACCATTTTCAGAATCAGCAACACAAGTTCAAGAGACGCGAACAGTTTCACGGAAATAGAGCGTGCCTTCAATGTTGTTTCAGAAAACTTGCATCTCTAATTTTCCGTTACATCTCCTCCTGCTCGCCTTCCTGGTGAGTATTGTATAAATTAACGAGTTTAATTAAATCTATTAATCTTTATTAATTAAATTTAATAATTCTCTATGCATCTTTAATAAAAAAAAACCTTTCGAACACCTTTTCAAGTATGTACGAATTTCCCATTTTCCACGTAATTAATGAAAAAGTTCGGAAGTGTGAGCGAAAAAAAAATCTTTCTAATCCAAAGAAATTATTAACAAAAATTCGTGTATTTTCCTATATATCCCATTCATCGCGCTTATCAATTTTCACTCAATATTTTTTTCTACTCGCAAAAATACGAGATTAATTAATTACATCACGTATTTTTCGTATATCTCCAAGCAGTACGAAGCGAACGTGTTAAATAATAACACCTTCCAGAGAGAAGAGAGAGAGAGAGAGAGAGAGAGAGAAGAAAACATTTTATCCAAGAGAGAAGATAGCTCCTAGAAAACAACTTCCATCCTCCACCTTCAACGTGCTCGCGATCGACGTCAGAGGACAGGATCCCGATCCCGATTGCCGAGGACCGCGGATCTATCGCGTTCACCTACGTCTCCCCTTCCACGGCTCTTTTTGCACTACCTCCTACCATCGTTTCGCCATTTCCCTCTCTCCGCGAGCTGATGCACGACGCAGGGGAGAAAGACACGCCGCCTTCTGACCGGCTCGTAGTTGCTCGAAAACCTCTCTTACCTACGCCGTACGCTCGGTTTTATTCTTCGACACGCTTCCGATCGGTTTCTCGTTTTCGCGCCGCTCGGCCTTCCGAACTCGCCAACTCTGACCTCGCCGCCATTTTGGTCGCGCCGCCGCTTCCGGCCGCCCGCTTCGAGGCCAACCGATCGAGCCTCGTTTCATCGGATCACGATGTTGGAAAACGCGCGCCCATTCGCCCATCCGATCGATCCTCGTCGAGTCGCGCTTTGATCGATTCTTCCTCGGCTGGAAGAAGGGCAAGTGATTATGAGATTATCAGAGATTTGACCAGATTTTTTTTTTGGAAGAATTTAATACAAAATATTTGATTAATTGGGACACGAGACTCGATCGATTGAGTTTGATACGTACAGTGAATCAGAGCGTGCGTGCGTGTATGTGTATGCTTTTCTCCGAACGATACTCTTTTGGATTTCGAAAGAATTGTTGGAACGGAGTTGATGGAAGATTTAACTTGCGGTCGATACTGGGATGAAGTTGAGGATAGGGAGATTGAATGCGGTCGGAGGCTAAATTAGGCTGTTGGACGAGACACCTCCTGTACACGTGCTGTGAAAACTTGACGGTCGTCTCAACGTTTCAAAATACAATTACGAAACCTTGCGTAAACGAGCGGAGCATCCGTTTCGATAATTAAACAAAGCCAAAATCGATCGATCAAGGATTGCCAACCTGGGAGGGTTCTAGGAAGACCCGATCCGTTGGCAAACTCCAACTTGGACATCTGGTAGAAGTCGAACGGCCAAGTTTGGACGCCTCGACCGAACCAACCTCGTAATTCGAACGGCTATTGACTAACTTGCTCGTTTCGCGGCAACCGTGTCAACCGTGATACTCGAGCTCACCTCGACCGTAAACAAATTGCTCGCGGCCCTTCGAACAACTCGTTCGAACGAATCCTCGATCTTTGAAACTCGTCGTGGAAAGTATCAACAGGTTTCCTGATCTCGATAGGGAGCCGCATCCTCCGGTTATCTCCGCAGGAAGTCGGCGCAGGGAGCAATCTCTGACGAGGAGAACGAGGTTTGGTTGGGGGAAGGATTAGATTGGCAAGTTGCCGGATGAGCCAGTGGTTACCGAAGTGTGTAGTTGGGAAATTTGGTGGTGAAACACGTGCTGTGAAATGTTCGATCGTTTGACGGGGTGAAGTTTGCCAGTTTGGATCTGTGCAAAGTACATTCAGACTCGGAGATTAGAAGTTAAAGGGAGAGGGGACTCTGGTTGTACCGCGGTAATTTGAGGAGCAGCAAAAGTGAACTTCATTTAGAGATAATTTTCTACGATCTATTATTATTTTATTTTATCAGGTAGACGCAGGGTGTTTTCGATTTAGAGATTAAATATCGTGATATTATGTTGTTGTGTCAGGATTGAGAAATTAGAGGTGATAGAGTCGATAAAGAGCGTTATAAAATGGTTCTTTTTTGGATCGAGGCAATCGGTTTGATTAGAGAAGAAAAATTAGGTTAGCGAGGGCAATCGACATAACTGGTGAGAAAACCGGTTTGAAAACTGTGGTATTGAGAATCGTCGCGTAAAATCGTTGAATAAATCATCCGGTTCGGATTGTTCAGAGCAGAAGCAATCGAAACCTGATAATAAGGTGTATTGACATTTTCGAAGATAAGGAATAATTTATCGTCGAGCCGATAAAGGTTGATTTATGGGAAAATATAATAACAATTGGATATTGAATTTTGAAAATTGAATCGAAAATTGTCGCTTCGGTTTCTTTTTTTTTTTTTGTTGAAGAATGAAAGATACATTTAAATATAGATATTGTAGCACGAGAAGTGGGATCGATTTATCGAATACATTATCGATACTTTACGATATAAATAAAATTCCAATCGCAACATTGCAAGCTTGAAAATAAATTCTTTTATGGAATGTTAATCGAGAAAGATTCGTAAAGTGTGATAGAAACCAGTGAAATATCGCTCGAAGGAGTTAAATCGCAATCACGAATCTTCCACTTCAATCGTGCCTAACGAACTCGAACAACTTCTGGAATTAAGGGGTGCAACATCGTCGAAGATTAACTGGAAGGCCATGAATTTATTGTTCCAAATGGATACCGAGAGCTTTCTCGTAATTTAAGAGATTCGAGACTGTTAAATACATCGAAGGAGGAATTTAAAAAACTTCGTAAAGTATATCCTGATTACGATCTGATTAATTTAAGGATTAATCTACATTTCCTTTCAACGAGTGTTAATCCGATTATTAATACAGAAATATTTTATAATATTTTTGTTCTTTGAGCAAAGAATACTCCAACTTGCGTTTGTTAAATATCTTCAAACACGCGAGAATCGTACAGAAATCGTACAGAAATCGTGCAGAAGCGAATTAAAGAAAGATACGCAAAAATATACGAATTAAAAAATCAACTCAAACTCGCACTGCCAATTTCACCATATATAATAACCATTAAAAGATAATAATCATTCCAAGAAAGCTTATAGAAATTCTTACAAAAAAAAAAAAACTTGCAAAACTAGGTCCAGAGAAAATTCCCGGAACTCTTTGTAGAAGCTCTATAACAGAAGAAGAAAGCTTATAGCGCATTACACCACTTACCTAAGTAAGCATACCTAAGAAAGCCTTGCCCAACAAACTGTTCGAGCAAACGTTCATCCAAGCGATTGTTGCGACGTAAAATTAAAAGTGAACCGGCTCGTCCAAAGCCAATCCACCGACCCTGCAACCGACCCAGAACTTTCGTCGATTGTCCCTCCAAAGATCTGCGTGATTCATCGAGGTCACCGGTTGAACGGGTCAGGGCCGCGAGTTGTGTGGCTTCAGGTCGGTGCAACCTGGATTTCTGCACGATTTAACGCGGTCGCTCCCTTCTTTTTAGCTTTACACAACCGTGCAACCATTCTTGCAGCATTATCTCTGCAACATCGCGACGATAAAATTCTATTGCACCGATAAGAGGGATTCTGCTGATTAATCGAGCGATTTTAGCCTCGTTAGTCATCCTGAGTGGATCGAGTTAAATGTCCATCGAGCTCCTGAAAGTGCGAACTCGATTCTTCCGATGGGAAGTGGGCTGTGAAGTGAGTTGGTGGAATTGGTGGAAGAGGTGGTGAACGAGTTGGGATCAGGATCAAATTGGACAGTTGGTGAGTATTTAAATTTGGATTTTTCTAAGGGATTTTTATTTTTATTGACTTTTTTAATGGAATAGATTAAGATTGATTAAGTTAAGGATTTTTATTAAATTTGTGAAATGGAAAGAATTGGTAGAATTGGTGAAAGTAGAAAAAAAGAGATCGAGATCAAGAAAAGTGAAGGGAATTGGTGGGTAAATAGGGTAGTGGGAAAATTTAGATTGACATAGTATAAATGAAGATATAAGTGTGCAATATAAATTTTAGGATGGATAGTATTTGTTAGAGAATAGAGAAAAAAATTTGTAAAAAACATTGGTCGAGAAATTATTTTCCAAGTTGTATAAACAATTATCTGTTGTAAACGTGAGTGATTCATTGACTTAATGAGTCAATTCTTTGATAGAGAGGTGTCAAGTATGTATAAAAAATGAAGGACGCGTTGAAAATTTTTTTGCAAGCAATAAAAAGAATGATAAAAGTTATTTTTTGCTTTTACGCATTTGCTTTAACAAAAAATTGTTTAACTTTGAAGATATGGAAGTTAAAAATCTAGATTATTATAATAGTTACGATATTCTTCGATCGGTTTTATTTTATCTATTTCTCTAACAGATAATAGTTTCTCGTTACTTATAATTCTTCGTAATTTTATAGTGGAATATTCAGTATTCAAAATGGCTGTTAAGTTAATAAAATTATCCTGTTCAATCATCTAAATTTTTTTTTGCTTATTTCCATGATTGGGATTCAGTTATAATGATAACGGGATTTTATATAACATATGCTTATTCCAAATAATTTCTACATAATTCTATGCTCTTTTCTCGATAGTTAAGTAATCTCGTTATTCTCTCTATATTTCTAAAAGCTATTTATCACAAATTATTATGGAAAATTATTATTCATAAAAGTTATTAGATTTAAGAATTCTTCAAATCTAAATTAAAAAGAAAGTATTATTATTACTTCCGTTGTTGTAAACGGAAGAATCGCGTATTTTTTATAGCTATTTATCGAATCTATTTTAATATCTATCATACATAATAAAAAACAAGAATATCATAGTTACATTTAAAAAAAATTTAAATATAACTATGAAAAAGAATTATTATTATCGAATAATTAAAATTATTGTATATTATTATACGTTATACCATTACTTCCATCCCGTTAAAAAATAATTAAAAAAAATCTGCGATATTGTAAATAATTATTATATATTTTCCAATTATTATTTAAAAAAAAAAAAAAAGCTATAACTTTACGACACTATTTTTATTATACATATTTCTCTTCAAATGGATCGCCGTAACTAATAGCTTCTAGAAAAGAATCGTTTTAAGAATTATACCTTTCTTTCACTGTTTTTTATCGATGCACAATGAATGATCGACGATTAAAAGAGGTTAATAAGCACGATCGAGATACAATACAATAGCGCGCGATACTCTGCTCAGAGTATCGTGGTCGATCGTTCGACAGTGGCGCCACTCCGGCGAAACGAAAACGAAGAAAGGGAGGAATAATCATCGTCGTAGCAAGAATATACAAGATTATCGGTATCCTTGCAAAAATAAGAAACCTCTCGTCGTTGATTGACCGTTCGGGCGTGCCGGGATTCGACCTGTTCGAAGATTAACTCGGCAATTAAGCGATACTCGTGCTTCTTTATTTTCCGTGGTTCTTCGATTAATAATCAGGGGAGCGGTGCGAGAACGCGTCCATTTTTACGTACGAGTGTTGACCTCGATTGCGGGGATCGTGATCTGGATCGTTTTTCAGGTGGAGAGATATCGTGAATGGTTTGTGGTTACCTCGAAATCGAGCTAGAAGAATTGAACGCGTACACTGTCGCTCAAAAGTATTTGGATCTTGGATTCTCAATGTGTTGCGAGCGATAATTTTTTTTATCGAAATTATCCTTTTATTTTAACAATTGCTTTATGCATTACTGCCTTTAATTTAATTCTATCTTTTATTTTTGAAAAAAAACTGGATGTTATAGTAACATCACATTTTCAATTTTATAAAATTGTAAAACGATCACAAATTTGACTGCACAAATTTTGATTAGAGAAAATTTCCAAAAATACGATTATTTCTATTCCCAAGTTTTTCAAAGCCAAATTCTCCTGCAAGTTGTTTAAATTTACATTAAAATTATTATAGAAATTTCGCTATTTTAATACAGAAAAAACCCGCGAAATTCAAATTTCTTTCCAAGAACACTACTCCTCACTTTCATTCTCAGATTTTCCACGCGAATTTCTCAACAAAAAACTATCCTTCACTTTCATTTCCAACCTCTCCACTCTTCTTCAAATTACTTTTTAAATCACTTAAACGAATCCTTTCCCCTCATAAACGACAGTAGACAGTAAGGAACCGAGTGCAGCGCAACTCGTCTCGCGAGTAAGGTTTTACAGAGCTCAACTGATGGATGAGCGTTGATTGCCCGGCTGAAGCTTATTAACTTCTTCCCGCAACTTCGTTAGAACGGTATCCCCGCAATTAAGTTTCTCGAAGGCGAGAAAATCTGCGACTCTTATCGCGCTAGAATTTTTCTTCTTTTCGCTCTTCTTCCGACCATTTCTTGCTCCACCCTTGAAATGGAAGAAGAAGAAGAAGAAGAAGAAGAAGAAGAAGAAAAAGAGGAGGAGAAAGAAGAAGAAGAAGAAGAAGATGTCCAGAGACTCGGTTCCGCTCTTTCTTGAGAAACGATCGTGGTGATTTGTGGCGCTCCCTGAGATATATCTCGCCGGTTGCGCGTCACTTTGCTTTTTCTTCTTGGATTCGAAGGAAGATGCGGAACGTCGAGGAACGCGAGTCGAGTCGTATAGCAAGTTGAATAGACGTTCGCGGACTTTTTGTCGAGGTTCAACCGTGTGCCGAGATCATACGTCTTTCTTCATCTTTGTATACACGGTGTGGTGAATATGAGCCGCTCTTGTTTTTAAAAATTATGATAATGATCCTGAAATATGTTGTAGCATAAGGCGTAGTGGATGGTCGTGATTGGAGGAAGGAATTTAATCCCGTCTTGATGATTTTGTATCTCTCTCTTTCGTTTTATTTCTCTACGTAGATTTGTTATTTAGACGTTTTAATCAGGAAGGTACGATTATCGCTCGATTGTGACGAATTTTTGATCGAAACATTGGCGAAAAAACCTAAGAATTTTATTCTCGTTACGATCTCCAATTATTATCCATTCTCCATCTTCATCCTCGTCGCTGTCAAATTTTCATAAAAAAGAAAAAAAAGATCAAAATTCGAGCCTATTATAAGTAAAGTAGAAATTCGAGTCTGATTCAACAGTGAATAATGGGACACGCTCGAAAAGTTTCACGACTTTCCTCCGATAATGATTGTGCACAAGATTTCACCCTCGGATTACGAAACTAGTCAAATCATTGTCGCTTTAGACGGTAAAACGTTTCGATCGTTAAAAGAGTCGGCCGGATTGTCGGCGTAATGCCACGGTCATAAAACGCGAACTTTCGCGTTCACTTGTTCCTTTCGCACGCATCTGCCGTAGAGAGCAACGCGGAAACGTTTTGCTCTCCTTTGAAAAGTTTCAGCTCGTACACCTCGACTCGACCGGAGAAATCTCCGGCTACCCCGTCAACCGGCATTATTTATTTCATGACCTTTTACAACCTCGGATTGCATTTTTCTCTGGATCTTGAAAAAATGAAGAGATTCCTTCCATAATGTTAAAAAAAAAATAACAATATTTAAAACAATTTTTCTCGAGATAAATACAAATATACAAGATCGTATGACGAGATTTGATCGTCAAAATATAAATTTATAATATTACTCGGTTGCGATTAAAGAGAAGTTAAACGTATGTACATACATCAGATACGTGTCACTATTCTTCAAATGATACGGGCCATCATTCAACCTAATCGTTATCTACGTATATCTGATGTCAAGTATGAATCTAATATTACGAATAATGCATTTAACGGTACGTTTTGACGTTACCGTTTCACTTTTGCCTATGCCCACCACTTTTCTCCGCTTTTATGTCCGTTCGCTGAATATTCAACCGGCCAATTAGCATGAATCCTCCGCAGAAATGATCGAAACGAGCCTCGAAACGAAATCACGTTTCACCTTCCTTCCTCGTCTGTTTATTCCAGTCGAGATTTCACCAAGCGATTCCCTTCTCATTCCCGTAGAATAGATTGATTTATCGGCGTCTCGATATTATGCAAATATCTATTCTTGTCCCTGTCTTGCTTCTCTTCTTTCTTCTTTTTTACCTAGTTTTTCTTTCCCTCTGGAAAAGAGTAGACGCACGATTGATTCCTTACGCGTGTTCGAATATGGGACACGTCGAAAGATGAAAGATCTGCTCTTCTAATTCTTATTTAACTTCAAAAGTAAAACTTTCGCAACTGAACTTTTTCTCATCGAAATTTATCGACTCGAGAAATTAGTCGACATGACCAATTCAAAAGATCACGAATTTTTTTCGATCATTTATTTGTTGTGCTTTCATTCATTGCGAGTAGTTTTTGAATTGAAGAAATATTCGTGAAAGCGTGAAATGGATAATTCTTGGAAAATTGTCAATTCGTGTCAGTTGAACGTCCGCACAAAAGTTAATTTGTCTCATCACTTTCCATCACGTAGTCACTTGTGTACTTGTATGTAAAACAGTTTCAATACCATACAATTTCGCAAACTTTGCGTATCTGTTTGAATTTGGGACACGATTGATCAATATCAATGTGGGCGAGCAATAGAGGCAACGAAATTGAATATTCGTCTTTCTTTCGAAACTTTTTTCCTATTTAAAATGTATAATTAGAAATATTCGTAAGTCTGATTATCACATCAGAAATTAATATATACGATAATCGATATTCATTGATATTTTTTTTTTTTTCAAAATGCTAGTTTGTCTAATAGTTTGAAAAAATAATTAACGCAAATAATTGCCGATAATAGATGTTCAAAGTTCGTTTTACTATCGATAAAAGCATCTATTAT